ATGTCCTAATTCCCCGCCCATAAAACCCGAAAACCACCGTTTTCGTAGGAAAACATGCAGGTTGTAGGGATCAAGGAATGGGGATACATAAGCTACTGCTGCCCTTTGATCATCAGACAAACTAAGTCAAACGCTTTGTTCACAGTCAAAAAGGTTGGGAGCAAACACTGCAAGTAAAATGACGAAAAAATATGAATTAAAACGGACAAAAGTAAAGGAAACCAAGATAAGGTGACACCCATTTCAAAATTTGCCTGCTGACATTTTTTGGGTTTTGGGCAGTCGCTTAAACTCTAGTGGCTGCAAATGTCACATGGATGGAGAGACAGCTCTAAACCACTCGAGTTTTAAACATATCAAAAATACTACAGACACCATCATTATCTACAATTACTACACATCTCCCCGTAACAAATATTTTAGAGAGCTAAAGCTTATGACAAGTACCAGATTGCAGTCGACCAAATGAACGAAGCGCAGCTAGAATATGAAGAAAAACTGGTAGAAGCCCACAAGAAAGCACTATTTTTGGAAGAATGCAGAAAGGCCTTCATTGATGAAATAATTGGCGACAACCTATTTAATGCAATGTTCAAGAAGGACAAGGATGGACAGACGCTTATCAAGCTCTCGTCAGTGGCAGAGTTGGTCGAACAGTATCCTTTTCCCTTGCCCCCAAATATTTCATCTTTTGTTTTACCTTCATGTTTTTTGCTTTCTCGAAAAGACAGTTACACGAAAATTATGCTTATATTAGCCCGTAACGTCCTTCTTCACGGCCCTGAACGGGGCAAACTGACTGTTTTACAGACTGCCCTTGATAGACAATATTACTTTTAGGGCGCCAAATGTAAAGGCGTTAAAAGGGACCCCAAACATCCCAGTACTGCGGTGGACCAGCAAGCTGAGCTCTGGACTATGTTGAAGGAAATTCGATTGCGTTAGCGGAACCGCGTCGTGAGGATGGTCAAACAGTCAGATAATATCTTCGGCAACGACAAAGGATATTGGAATGTCCACCTCTGGCTTATTAGCCAATCATACCAAGCCCCAGGTGGTGCACCACTCGAGGCTCGAACTCACGACCTTTTGATCAGGGTCTAACGCACTAACCATTGAGCCACGAGCTCGTTGTCTTGCCGATTTAGGTTGGGAGATATTGACACTAGTTGATGAACGTGCACCGACCGCTAACGGAACTCACCTGTCCCGTTCCGCCTTTGCCTTAGGCCTCCTTTCTCGGGCCTTGACAGCGGCTGTAGCAGCTAGTAGCATAGGCAGATAATATTGTTGGCGGAGCGGGACAAGTGAGTTCCGTTAGCGGTCGGTGCACGTTCATCAACGATGGCTACCATGTCGTTAAGGGTTGTTGGACAGCAAAGATCACTAGATATAACCCACTGCACATGCATCAATTTCCTACTTTGAAGAGTTCTCACCTTCTTAAAATGGTGGAATCAGTATATTCGCGGATGTCTGTGCGTATGTCACCAGTTGGCTTGTGCATATTTGGGTCGTTGATTTCTATTTGTGTGTGGCAGGCCCTATATGGAGGATCCTGCTGCATTAGCCACTAAGCCAGACGTCATTATCAAATCCTCGATAAGCTTGGAAAGGCCAGTAACCCTCCCTGAGAAGTTTGCGTTGAGCCTGAGACGTACTCAAGAGATTCCTCATCATACAACTTTTGAAGTACTTCACACTACCGAAATGTGCTAAGTGTTCCGACTTTGGCAAGTTTGTGACTGTTGGAATGACTATGCTCTTCTCGGCAATGAAAGCCAAATTGTAATATCCCTCCCCCTTTAATGTGGTGTTTATAACACACCTGACATAAAAGACCCAAGCCCATATCTAACATTGGTTAAACGGCGGTCGTGCATCATGTTATCTAATACACCAAGCAAATATTAAGTAAGTTTGCCTCAGACAGCCTAAGCGAGCGATAAAAAGACATGAAGTCAGAAATGAGTTCGGTCCCTTTGTACGTGGGAGGCCATAGTCCCTATTTTGGTAAATACAGTAGTCACCGGTTATTAAGCCCACGGCTAATAGGCCCAGCTGCTTATTAAGCCCAATTTGGTCTGGGCCCGAGGTGGGCTTAATAACCGGCGACTACTGCAATGGTTAACATTCAAACGTCCACAAGGTGCTAACAGTGGTAACAGAGGGAGTCTACAAACAACGAGGCAACACACTTCCTCGGACTGGAGTCTGAGTTATAAATACCTTTTCCCTTATTCCACCTATAGGGCAACTTTCTTTGCGGAATGACCTAAGATCGCTGTTGGAGGGGTCGGCAAGCATGTGTCAGGCGTAGACGGAGGCCTCATATCACGCGCAATGTGATCTCCAGTCGGTTTGACCCAAACTATACACCGCGGTTGAATCAGATGGACAGAAAGTTTGTGCCATCCAACCCGAACTGATTTAGGTGCAAATCACTTTAGGAATTAGCAGGTTTTAAATTTTTTAAATTCTTAATTCCAGATGATAGCGCGGATTTTAGTGACAGAAACTACTTTATCCTCCTTAACATTGCAATTTATGCATGTATCGCGAGAAGTGTTCAGATGCCTGCAAACAACTCTTCCTGACAGGACAAGAAGAATATCAGAAGCGAAAAAGCGAGGAAGACTGCCTTCGTTCGTGCATAGAGGATGCAAAACAAGATAGCAAAAGAAGGGCTTTAGAGTCAATTGAGCAATTCAAAGAAACGAAAAAGGCGGTATGCATTTTTACCCGATTTAGTTTTTTTTAACAACGATTTTCCTTCGGGATTAATTATTTGTCTGGAAAACGTGTTCAGACAGACGTCCAATGCAGTTTCCTGTTCCGTACTCTGAACTCTTCCGGCATGCAGGGCTTCCTTAAATGGAACTAGAAATTCAGAATAGTATTCCCCTTTATCTTCTTAATAACCTGGCTGATTCGGGGGATGATTACTTATTTATTTAACGAAGATAAAGCTTTGTATCGCTTCTATTCCTTCTTCGCAATCAAAAGTACACACAGAGCACACTCAATTTCTTGTCTAGCCTGAGTAGTAGTGCATGTGATTTCAACAGTTTTTTCTAATATGCTCATGTCAGGAGGCCATTTTTATCCACTTATTCATGACCATAGTCCATGCCGTTAGTTCCCTGTCTTTGCAGTCTACTGGGGAGAAATTTCGGAGACACGCATATGGTATCCGTTTAAAATGTTTTAAGTAAGCTCTAGAATGACCTAATATCCTCCAATGAACGTCCTACTTCAGATCAGGAAAAAGCTTGATGACCTCTACCAGGACTCTTTTCCCGAGGTTGCGGAAGCCCTGTTGTCCGATCTTCGTCAAGCAATCTACGAACTGTGGAATGATCTTATGGGAAATGAGGTTTCATTGGTTGACCAGCTTGAAGAAATCATCACCGACTTCGGAAGAAATATGTCGGAAATGGTTTCTCAATTCACTGAAAGTGTGCAGGTACGGCAAGTTTCCCGTGAAAATAATCATGCAGCACTCGTAAAATTGCCCTGTCAAACACCGGCTTTCCTGTATTTCCTTTTATATGCTAAAATATCGCTTGACTAATTAAGAAGGACGCCTTTGTAGCAGTAGGTATCCAAGTTAGGTTAAAGATCGGAGCCTGGAGAGGAAGTAGCAAAATGAGCCGTATAAGAGGAGCTGAGGTTAAAAACTATTATTTAATCAAAGCCGAATGATGAGTATGTTCCAGTGATCGCATTCTCTTCTTCTGAATAGGCACTTAGTCAGTGTAAAAATTAAGCATTTTTCATTTTAATTCTCAAAGGTTTGCTTCTCGAAAGTTCGGGAGTCAGCTGGCAGCTTTAACGAGAGATTGGCCGAAATGACTCTAACCTACGCCGAAAGACTAGCTAAGGCGGAACAGCCACAGAAGACTGACCCCGAATCTTCCGTAAGTCAGATTTCTCTTAGTTGCTCCCGCGCAATACCGGGAAGGCGTAATCATCTATCAATGAGCCACTTGGCTTATTCAAATCCAAATTTACAAAACACTATCTGCTAATTATTATATGGGAAACTGATGTCCTTTTTAATGAATACACATAATTAAATGTTTATAAAACAGGTATTTTT